AAGTGATACATGTATCTTATGTTCCATAATAAACATATTTTATTTTTTTTATTTTTTTATTTATTTTATTATCTTCGATTGTCAAAAATTTTTGATCGACAGACTAGTGTTGGCCAGTGAACTTAGTGATGTTGAAAATAAGTGTGATTTATTGTCCCGCCCGCCGTCATTAAAACAATTGTTACAAGACGAACTTACTTATAAGCACATCTACAATTACATAAAAAATACAATAAAAACAATTTAATGGAATGTGCTCATAGACGTAACATTACGTCTATGAATGTGGTATGAAAATTAAGAGTTGACCTAAAGGTTGTAAATGCCAGGGGCCTTAGTCAAGATGCCTTAACAGTAGTGTATGTAGAACGTCAAAAACTAAATTTGTATGAAAACTTTTCGACACGAACTGTCATTTCCATACAAATTAAGTTTTCGACACATACACTACTGTTAAGGCATCTTGACTAAGGCCCCAGGGGGTCTAGCCATATTGGTGTCGAAAAGTATTCTACATACACTACCGCTTTTGCGTAATTGTACTGTCGAAAACGCTTCGTTCGTAGCCAAGAGGCATGTCGATACATTACCGCAAAGTCGACAGCGTAGATGCGAGCTGCTGTTCGTAGCACCTTATTCCGTCATATTGTCTCTGGATTAAATGTATCCCTAATGTCACTTTTATAAACAAATAAAAGTTAAAACTCCAATATTATTGTTAATTTGCAATTATTACAAATTCCAATTATTGGAAGCTGCAAAAGGGACATTAGAATGTCAGCAAGGTCGGAACAATTTTCGATTTAATTGGAATTTACGGAAGGTGTAAAGTGAATATGTCAATTTTAATTGCATGTTTAAATTACTTATGGTTTGTTTCATGTTTTCTCAGAAATTTAAGGCTACAAATAAATACAATATTTGAAATTGCATAATCGCGATATATAATAATTAGTAGTACTCATACTTTATTATTTTTAGGATTTGACCTCACAACTAATCTGCAAAATGAAGAAGCAACATATTTTGTTACCGCTTAGAAGAAACAATAGAAATAGTACTGTGGATTGATAAATAAAGAGTGAAAATAAGGTTGACTAGAAATTGATAAGAAATAGAAGGATAGTCCAAGGAATTGGTAGAGAGAAAACATCAGATAGTTTTGTTTGCTGATGACACGTCCTTGATTTTTAAAATCAAACGACAAATAACAAATTTTGACGATGTGAACAATGCTCTGTCTTCGATTGTCCATTGGTTTAGTATGAATAACCTTCTACTTAATGCAAAAAAGACAAAATGCATTAAATTTTGTGCAAAAAATGCAAGGGTTATGGATACTAGACCAATTATAAACGGTGAGGAATTGAATCTGGATGATACAACTGTATTTCTCGGAATCACCATGGATTCAAAACTTCAGTGGTCCCCTCATATTAACGGATTGGCGAAGAGACTTAGTTCTGCAGCCTACGCGGTTAAAAAAATTCGCTCACTAACTGATGTCGATACAGCTAGACTTGTTTATTTTAGTTACTTTCATAGCTTAATGACTTATGGCTTATTATTATGGGGTCATGCTGCTGATGTCGAAACTATTTTCATCCTGCAGAAGAGGGCTATTCGTGCAATCTATAATTTAAAATGTAGGGAATCTCTTAGAGATAAATTCAAGGAAATTAATATACTTACCTTTCCCTCGCAATATATTTATGAAAATATTATGTATGTATACAAAAATAGTGATAAGTTTACTAGAATAGAACATACGCACAATGTTAATACACGGAACAAACGCAGGCTGCAATTTCCCCGTACTAGACTATCTAAAGTTAGTAATTCTTTTTTGGGGAAAGGGATACTCTTCTTTAATAAAATCCCAGAGGCTCTTTTATCACTGCCTTTCAATAAATTTAAGAAATGTATTAAAGAAAAGCTGTGTAAAAAGGCTTACTATAAAGTCAACGATTATCTAGTTGATAAAAGGGCCTGGGACTAGTGCTAGACAGGCTACTTCTAATCAATTTGCGATATTTGTTTTAAATAAGTGTTGTTTGATGATTTGCTGTTTTAAAAGAGTACCGAGAGTTTTTTACGCCGGCTTTTTCTCTCGGCCTACACCCTCTGTCTTCTTTGCCGATGAGTAGGGATGCCTTCAAATTTAATGACGTGGAATAAGTGATACATGTATCTTATGTTCCATAATAAACACTATAATTAAAAAACAATAGAAAAAAAACGTAGACTAGTGTGAACACTGAAATTAGAGTTTGATTTAAGCTTTAATTAGGCTTGAACATTTTTAATGTCAATTTGAAAGCAGATTTATATATAAGTGTAGATTTTATTAGTGATTTGCTACTAGTTGGAATTATCTCTGTTTATGTCCAACAAACAATTTTAGTTTAAGTTAGAGTCATAAGGGTTGATTGTTATAATAAATTTATACTTTTAGAAAGTGAGAATTGAAAATGAAATGTGTGTGTACTCAATGAAATGAAAAGAGGGATTAATAAAAATTATAAAATAGAAACTTAGTCTGGTATGAAATTATAAGCCTTACTCAACCTTTGATTCCATATTGATGCTCCAACATCTTAGATATAAATTTAAGTTTGATGCTGATTTTAAGTTAATATTTATGTCAATTAACTTTTGGTTATATGTATCAGTGATTTGCTACTAGTTAATATGTAAATGCAAAATCTGTTTAAGTAAGAAATGAATAAAGATTGTATGTTATGTATTTGTCAGTTTTATTTTTGGTAATTTACCTGTGTCTTCTTTAGTAGGAAAAGCCATTAAAGTGGTTAACAATATTAGTTTATTTTACAAGAATATACAGATAATGCATATATGAATGACCCGTACCTACTAATAGTTAGGAATATTAAAAAAATAGGTAGCAAAATAAAAATGTTTCAGTTATGGTTATTTTTTATTAAAATAAGGCACCAAATATCTTCCTTAACATAATGCAGTCTACATAGAAAAATAAACATATGTAACAACTTATTAAACAATACAGACATTACTACTGAACACACACAGGTGCACCAAATTCAATGCATTACTACCTAATGTAGATGTATTCAATTATTCATATTTATATATGTAGATAATTAACTAATAAATGTAAGTGTTAATTTGCAGCAAAGTCAATATCTTGTTTGTGTGCTGTTATATACAAAAAATTGTTCAATTTATAAAACCTAACGTTAGATGTTGTGATGATTTCATAAAATTACTATGATACCTACAGTTACTATGAATACATCCTGGGCGATTAAAAAAACAGTGATTGTTTTCTTAACACAACAATTGTAAATAATAATAGTTATTTTTAAGATATAATTCTTCCCAAAATCTACAAATCCAGTTTGTTTATAATAATATCTCATTAACATTCAAACTGCTGAACTTATTAAGATTAAATGTGGAAGAACATAGTTTCAGTTACTGTTTCCTGTTCATGAGGTAATGTTACTTAACCAACCATTATTTCATACTCCACTTGTCTTATTTTTTACATTATTCATAAAATGCTTCATTCCCCATTTTCAGGTAGGTACATAATATAACACTTAAATTAATTAAAAGATAAGACTTTAATAAAACTTGTCCATTTGTGGTTTTTTTAATATTTTTAGTTGTCTTATTAGCTTCTCTTTTTCTGAAACGAAAATATTTTAGTTAGTACTTTGATCAAATAGAAAACTGACAAACTAAACTAAGATCGGTCCAAGGTTTGTTCAATAGGTAACTTTAATATTAAAACTCTTTACTTAATTCTAAACTTAAAAATATACTTAATTTGTCACTTTGCTGCTTATTGTCAATTAAAGTTTTTAATAACCAAACAATGTCAGTAACTCCCAAGGGACTTGAATTCAAACTTCTCATTCATTAACAATATTATAATAACTTTTCTAGTATATTGACTTAGTAAATAATTAAAGAAAATATCTGCTTACCATTACTTAGTATTGCTCACTAGATTTTATATTTCCAAAGTTCATAAAGTATAAATCCACTTTATTTGATTAATTTAAATCAATATTATATCATTATCATCTTCTTTTATAATTACGAACTTCTAATTATGTTCATTAGTGACTCTCATCTGAAATATGGAAATAAAATGTACAATCATTTTACTTTGTGATTACATAATATATGCAATATTAAATGGTATATATATTTTTCAAATTAAAGAACAATTTCATGAACTTACATGCAATATAAATATCAATAAAAGATATCCAATCTAACTAGGATTTACCTCTACTAATTTGCTGATTTTCTTGATATTTTCATATCTAAAAAACTAAAACTCTTAACTTAAAAATATTAACTCTAGTTTAAATTATTATAATTACACGAGAACGTTAAAAAAAGACAGATAACAAATTAAAACCATTTCGTTAAAACGTCCAAAATATGACATGTTTTTAAAACGGTAGCCATTAAAGATGGCAATAGTTGTACTGAATTATTGCAAACAGCAGCTTTTGAGATCACGCTAAAACATGGCGGAGAAACGCCGTTTTTTCTACACTGCCGAAATATTAATTGGCCGTTAACGTAATGTGTGTCTTTTCGTAGCACTGTCATGGCGTCGCTTATTGTATCCCGACTCACGCCTTTAGGGCCTAGGCTACCGACTGTCGACACGAGCTGTCATTTTCATACAAATTTAGTTTTCGACTTTCTACATACACTACTGTTAAGCCATCTTGGCTAGACCCCCTGGTCATAAAATCCCAAAAAAAAAAATAAGTATCTTTACTTTGTTTACATTATTTATATTTATAAACAATAGATATAAGAAAGAAGTTGAGATATTAGTTAACTGACTTTCTTAGTGAAATCACATTAAAAATAGCATAATGAAAAAATGAATACCTTAGATGGAATTAACAAATCTATTAGGGCTTAGCGGACTAACCTACAAAAATATTGTGATTTAAAAAAGTGACCTTAAATAATTAAGAGTGGAAATGTGTATATTAACAAGAGCATTGATACGCGTGAAAAGATACACTCATATATGCAAGTTCAGCACACATGGTTGCCGTCGACAGGTAGGTGTAACATATTTTATTGCTGAATATTACATAGTTTGATTTTGTTCAGATCGTGTGCCGAATTCAGTTAAGAAAATAAATTGTGTTTCTATAGAAAGTAAAGGAAACCCCCCAAAGACACATTTTTCTATAATAGAAAAATTTAAATCCTGTTTAAGAGTTTACATATGTAATTGTAATTCAGTTATATAAGGTAAATTTGAAAGACTATTCTGATCTTTTGTAGCTTACACAGCTAGTGCAAACAGTTGTCTGTGCATATTTAATAAAACAATATTTTTTTTTATACAACTGTTAGGTGTGCAGACAGCTGCTTGCATGATCATAGATACACAATGTTAGATTCATGGATTCAGAAGATTAATAATAATTGATTAAGTCATGTCTGGCTCTAAAGTTAAGCAAAATTTTCTTTGAAAACATTACTTGGGACACTAATGACTTTTAATTAATAAATCTTGATTATTATTTACATTGCACATAAAATGCTACATAATTATTCTATGCCACAACTTATTTATATAAACTAGAGGTTTCATGAGACAGTTGATTAATAGCTAAAACTTTTCTAGAAGTATACTACAGATGATAACCCACTTGAGCCGAATAATACCATTATTGGTGCAGAAGAAGATGGAAGATGGCCTAGAAGAATAGTATCAGGTCTACAACCAACTGGAGCCTTGCATGTTGGTAATTACTTTGCTGCGGTGCGCCGTTGTGTACAGCTGCAAGAGCAAGGACAAGATGTGATGATGTTTATTGCTGATTTGCATGCTTTAACCACAAAACAGGTATTTTTTATTTATTCTTAATGATTATAATATAAAGTTGAATAAATTATTTGTAGTGTCTAGTCTCATAATTTGCTAAATGATTAATATATTATTAATAATTAACAGTCAATATCTCTTTTTTATATATAAATGTAAATCTAGAACACACCTAATTTATTTGAAAATTAATTACTCATATATCATAACTCCGTCAACTACAATCTCTGTGTCTATTTACACATATAATATTAAATATGATGTCTGTGCACTTTTATATTTGAAAAAATATCATTAGAGGTGTTCAGACATATTATGTTTGTAATTTAATATTTAGTAATAAAGTAGATTCAAAGCGAAGCAGACGTTTCATTGCACTAAAATTATACTTAATAGTTCACCAGTCAAAAAGCAACCTTATCGCCGCAACATATGGTCGCAATCTCGCCGGATCTTGTGTCTACTGAGCTGCATCGAAGGAACAATAGACTACGCATTCCATTGCGATAAGGAACACGTTTAGCAACTATTTTGTGCAATTTTTAGACATAACTTTTGAATAATATTGAAATAGAACGTGCAAGTGACTTTAAAGTGAGGATTATGGCAAATGTGGAACAGTTATTAAGTGTACTTGAAAATAATAATGAACTATTAAAAAAAGACTCAAATAAATATTAAAAAATGTGCAAAGGCTAGACTTACGAAAGGTTATCTACAAACACGGATGGAGTGTATAGAAAGTTACTGGAAGACGTATAAAAGTGCACATTTAGATTTAATAAAAATTACGCCGCGTGAACAAAAGTCAATTTTACCATATTTTGTCAATGAGGATTATTATTTGATCGAGGATTTATATTTATGTATGGTGTCTGACATCAGGGATATGTTAGAAGGTCTTGAAATTCAAAGAGGACAACAATCCTGTAATCAGGGGAACGGCTCCACTGCAGTCGAACACAACGTACAATCACAGGTTCGACTCCCGCGCATTGATTTACCTACTTTTTCGGGTAATTATGAAGAATGGCCTTCTTACAAAGATATTTTTGTTGCACTGGTACATGATAACACGTCACTATCTAATGTTCAGCGACTACATTATTTGAAATGCAGCATAACAGGTGAAGCAGCATCCTTATTAAAACACATCCAAATCACGGAATCGAATTACTTATCTGCTTGGGAGACTCTAAAACTTAGATATGGGAATAAACGAATGATTATTAATTCATTATTTAAACGATTATTTTCACAAAAGAAAATTATGTCACAATCGGCTTTACAATTAAAAGGAATATTAGATACAACAAATGAAGTTTTAAACAGCTTACAAAATCTTAAGGTGTCCACAGAGTCATGGGACCCTATAATTGTATTTTTAGTAGTTCAAAGGTTGGATCCAGATACTCATAAAGAATGGAAACAATTTTCGTATGATATGAGTCAAGAAGAATTATCTACCTGGTTTGAATTACAGAAGTTTTTAGAAGGAAAATTTAGAACGTTAGAATTGTTAAATCCACCTTTTAAACCAACTCTCAAGCCGTTAAGAGAACGTGTTTTCCACATGTCTATAGAGAAGACATGTATTATGTGTAAGGAAAATCATAGCTTATGTCGTTGCAAAACATTCTCAAAAATGTCACCTGCGGAAAGAAGTCACTATGCACAACACAACAAACTCTGCTTCAACTGCTTGGCTCCAGGGAATTCGGCATTTAGATGTAATTTACCTCTTTCATTTCGAATATGCAAGGCTCGTCATCATTCTCTTCTTCATCAGTCAACTAAAGCAAATGCGTCGGCATCTTTAGAACTCAAGCAACCGATGACATTACCTCAAGAAGAGGAGAAGACTCTTGCTACAATGACAGCTTTACATAATGTTACAGAACATATCAATCTATTGGCAACCGCAATTGTGGTTATAAAGGGAAACTATGGGCACACAACTGTACTTAGGGCGCTAATAGATTCGGGGTCGCAGTCATGCTTTATCACTCAAAAGGCAACTCAAGCACTAAAATTGCAACGCAAACCTGTAAATTTGGTCGTCACGGGTATGGATAATATGAAGGTAAACATCAAACAAGAAGTCAATTTTGATTTATTATTTATTTATTTTATTTATTTATTTATTAAGGAACACCAACAGATTACATGTATGTATTTTCTAATTAACAATATTGGGTTTTATTCTAGCATGCAATCTAATAATAGGTGTACACAACATTGACTCTAATAAATGATAGCGGACAGAGTTTACTTAAGTATTTGTATCTTTAAACATAGATAAATTGAAACGTGGTAAATATTACATGACTTATGGCTGAGATGACTGAATTTTCTTCTTAAAACTAGGAAGTGAGTCATAATACACGTCAAGACTATGTCTACAACTACATTGGTTAAAATTCCTAAGCATTCTACTGAGGGGCGCATGTTTACCTAGATTGGTTAAGGACTGTGGAACGACAAAAGTATCAGTCTGTCTTCTTCTTGCGTTGATTCTAGGCACTACGAAGTAAATCTTTTTTTAAAATATCTGGACAAATAATCGTGCCGTGCATCAACTTGTACAAAAACACCAGGTCCACAATCATACGACGATCCTCGAGAGTTTGCAAATTGAACTTCTGTAATCGATCAACATAATCCCTTCTGTAGCAAAATTTAGGGGTTTTGTACGCCAGGAACCGTGTGAATGTTCTTTGAGGACGTTCTAGTGCATACTTGTGTGTTTGGTATGTGGGATTCCACACTACACTAGCGTACTCAAGGTGGCTGCGCACCAATGCATTGTACAGAGTAATAAGAGTTTTAACATTCTTAAAGTCAGTGGTATTACGCCTAATGAAACCGAGCATCTGAAATGATTTCGCTATAATTATTTCGTGGTGAGGAGTAAAACTGAGAGCACTATCCAGCGTCACACCAAGGTCTCGTATACGATCAACCTCCTCAAGAGCAACTCCATTAATTGAGTAAGAAGATTGGAATAAGTTTTTATTCCTAGTAAATTTTATATGAAAGCATTTACCAGCATTTAAAATCATGAGGTTATTTTTACACCAAGTGTGTATGGCAAGTAAATCCTTTTGCAATAGAGCAATATCATTCGTTGAAGTTATTGTCTTAAACAATTTCATGTCATCGGCAAACAATGAACATTCACTATAATGAACATGATCTACTATATCATTTATAAATAAAATTGGCCCGAGGTGAGAGCCCTGAGGCACGCCTGAAGTTGCCACATACGGTTTTGATGCATAACCATTTGTCACCACTGTTGATGATCTGAATTTAAGGTACGATGCAAACCAAGAATGTAAGGATCCGCAAACACCAAATGTAATTAATTTTTTTTTAATAATATATGGTGACAAACTTTGTCATTATCACGTTGGGAACCTAACTTTGAGCTACCAATACACGCCTACGTGATGTCACAACCATTAAAGTTTAACATACCTTCATCAGAATATTTCCAACAGGAACTGCGTCACTTTGAGAAATTGAATCTAGCAGATCCAAATTTTATGGATTCCGGAGCATTGGATTTGCTATTAGGGGTGCAAGAGTATACAGCAATTCTTAAACAAGGATTAATCAAGGGTCCATCAGGCACAGTATGCGCACAGAAAACCAGCCTGGGATGGATTGTGATGGGTGGAATAAATATCAACATGAAACCAAAGCATAAAGCCATAATGGCAATGAATATCACAACTGATGCAAGTTTTAATGATTTAATTAAAACTATTTGGGAGATAGATACAGTCACAAAACGTAATTTAACTAAAGAAGAATTGAGATGTGAAGAATTTTATAAAGAAACTCATGCTAGAATGACGAAGGAAGATATATAGTTAGATTACCCTTTAAAACTGAAGCACTATTGTCGTCTGAAGGAAATACAAAAGAAACAGCAATTAAGAGATTAATGCAGCTTGAAAGAAGATTTGGTAGAAATCCAGAACTAAAAGACGAATATCTGAAAGTAATAAACGAATATAAAACGTTAAATCATATTGAAGAAGTACCTGAAAAAGAATTACATAAAAAATCAGTTTACTTACCTCACCACGCTGTTGTCCGTCAGGACAAAGAAACTACGAAGACACGAGTTGTTTTTGATGCTTCCTGTAAGGGCTCCAACAATATTTCACTTAACGAGGAGCTTCTGTCAGGTCCAGTTTTGCAAAAAGATTTAAGAAATTTAATCATGAGATGGCGTATTCATGCAATTTGTTTCGTCTCAGATATTCAAATGATGTATAGAATGATAAAAATTCATAGAGATGATGTTGATTACCAGCGTATAGTATGGAGAGAAAATCCATCCGATGAGATACGTGACTATCGCCTTCTTACTGTAACGTTCGGGACAGCCTCAGCACCGTATCTTGCAGTAAAAACTCTGAAGCAACTAGCGATTGATGAAGGGGATAAGTTTCCTGAAGCAGCTAGAATATTAAATGAAGATTTCTATGTTGATGATTGCATGTCTGGAAGTGATAAAGTTCAAAAAAAGCAATTCAGATAAGCAAGGATTTAAAAGAATTGTTACGTAGAGGAGGATTCGAGTTGAAGAAATGGTCCTCTAATAATACTGAGTTTATGCAAAGTTTAAAACCAGATGAAAGAACTACTTAAGCTCATTTCGATTTAAAACTAGATGGAATAATTAAAGCACTAGGGGTTCAATGGAATTTAGGGAATGATCGATTTGAATACAACTTAAACCTACCTGAAGTCGATGAAGAAAACATTATCACGAAGCGGAATATCCTCTCAGATATACAAAAGTTGTTCGACCCTTTAGGTTGGATTGCACCTAGTATTGTTCAAGCTAAAATATTAATTCAAAAACTATGGCTTGAACAGGTTCATTGGGATGAGGATCTTAACATTTTTCTGAAAGAAGAATGGTTGAAGATTCGCCGAGATATTATGAATGTGAATAACATTTCTATCGATCGATGGTTAGATACTTCTTGCTCCAACATGGATACAATTCAAATTCATGGTTATTGTGATGCTTCTATTTTAGCTTACGCCGCCGTGGTGTATTGCCTAGTCAAGAAAACGGACGGTTCATATAGAACTGCATTAATTGCAGCCAGAACCAGAGTGGCTCCCCTCAAGACAATTTCGTTGCCAAAATTAGAACTTTCTGGAGCTTTGCTCTTATCCCGACTATTGAACCAAGTAGCACAGGCCATGAGAATACCGATGGAAAGAGTTTTCGCATGGACAGATTCATCTATAGTCATAGCTTGGTTGTCTGGCGAACCCACGAAATGGAAGCCATTTGTGGCCAATCGTGTAGTAGAAATTTTAACAAATCGTAAAAAAGAACAATGGCATCATGTCCAGTCACAAGAAAATCCAGCAGATATTGCATCTAGAGGTATGTTTATATCCGATTTGAAACACTGCAACCTTTGGTGGAAAGGACCTACTTGGTTACAAAAAAGGAGAAATCATCTTAACAGACGAGAACATATTTACAACAGATCTAGAAAAGAAAAAGGAAAGAATTAAAACTCTCATATTGACAAAAACTAAAGAAGAAAAGAGATTTTCTGAAAAATTTGAAAGATTTACTACCTTAAATGAACTATTAAGAACCATAGCTTATTGTAAAAAGTTTATCAAGTTTAAAAAGGATAATAAAAACATAATTATCACAACAGAAGATATAGAAGAAGCATTACTAACATGTATCAAAATAGTGCAAAATGAAGAATTCGAAACTGAAATAGATTCGTTAAAGAAAAAGAACAATATTAAAAAGAACAGTAAATTGAAGACGCTTAATCCATTTTTAGATAATAATGGAGTGCTCAGGGTGGGCGGAAGATTAGCAAAATCAAGTTTAGAAACAAATACTAAACATCCTATAATCATTGGAAACAACAACACTCTTGTCTCACTTATTATCGCCGACGCTCATAAAACAACATTACATGGAGGTATTCAGCTCATGCTTTGTTATTTACGGTCTAAATATTGGGTATTGCGTGCAAAAGACATGACAAAGAAGCATATCCATCGATGTCTAATTTGCGCTAAGGAAAGTGCAAAGGTAAAAACTCAATTAATGGGTGATTTACCTTCCGTTCGTACCACACCTTCTCGACCATTTATCAATGCAGGTGTAGATTTCGCTGGTCCATTTCAAATTTTGATGAACAAAGGAAGAGGTATCAAAACAAACAAAGCCTACGCTGCGATTTTTGTCTGTATGTCTACTAAAGCAATTCACATAGAACTAGTCGGTGACATGACGTCAAATTCATTCATAGCTGCATACAGACGATTTACATCAAGAAGAGGCAAATGCGCACATCTTTGGAGCGATCAGGGAAAAAACTTTGTAGGAGCAAACAAAGAGTTACGTAAAGCATGGGAAGAAGCAAAATTGCAATTTGACCAAGAAATCATAGACAGCTTAGCAAATGATGGCACTCAGTGGCACTTCATTCCTGCATACTCACCAAACTTCGGAGGACTCTGGGAGGCTGGAGTTAAGTCAATGAAGTATCATTTAAAACGAATTCTTAATAACAACCTTACCTTCGAAGAGTTGTCCACTGTATTATGTGAAATCGAAGCCTGTCTTAACTCACGGCCACTCTGCCATATAAGCCAAGCAGATGATACTCTTGATCCACTAACACCTGGACACTTTCTAATTGGTGAAGCCCCAATAGTTGTACCGCATCCAAAGTTGAACGATATCAAAATTTCACATTTAGCCCGTTGGCAATATACACAAAAGCTATTAAACGATTTTTGGTGTCGTTGGCAAAATGAATACTTAACCAATCTACAACAACGGCCAAAATGGTTAAAAAGAATACAAGAATTTAAAATTGGTGATATCGTACTGATAAAACAACAAAATTTACCACCTGGAAAATGGATCCTTGGACGAATTACTGAAAAACATCCAGGACTAGATGGTGTAACTAGAGTTTATAGTGTTAAAAATGGAAATAATATTGTAAAACGATCTGTATCTAATCTTTGCTATCTCCCAATTAATGAAGCTTAAGTGCCAAATTGTTAAAGTATATATTAAGGGTTTGCATGTAATCTTTTGAAAGGACATTAAAGGTCCTTTGGTGGGCGGATATGTTCAGTCATATTATGTTTGTAATTTAATATTTAGTAATAAAGTAGATTCAACGCGAAGCAGACGTTTCATTGCACTAAAATTATACTTAATAGTTCACCAGTCAAAAAGCAACCTTATCGCCGCAACAAGAGGGTAATAAAAAACAAGTTTATTCTTTCTGTTTTAATATTTAGACACATTTATCAAAAAAAAAATATTACATAGAAATTTCTAAACAAAAAAAATACTGAAGATGAATTCATATTTTTAAATAATGGATGTAAAATTAATAAAATTGCATAGAAAGTGTCCACTGGACCAATAGTGATATTCAAAATCGAGACTTGCAAGGAGCAAACTACGACTACAAAATCAAATGCATTTTCGGCGCACGGGAGTGATAAGTCTCGTTACTGGATCTTCTTATTCCGAGTCATCTAGGAGAAGCATCAGTATCCAAAGTAGAAAGTGAAAGTTTGTCCAAAGGTGAGCCCGGCCGCGATGCAAGACAACACACTGCAGTTGACGGCATATCTGCTGGCCAGCGGCTTGGACCCGGCGCGCACCGTGCTGTTCGCGCAGTCGGCCGTGCCGCGTCACGCCGAACTGTGCTGGGTGCTGACATGCCTGGCCACGCAGGCCCGCCTCGCCCATCTGCCGCAATACCGCGAACGCACCGCCGGCGGCGGCGACCTCGGCGCCGGGCTCCTGCTGTACCCGGTTTTGCAGGCGGCCGACGTGCTGCTCTACCGCGCGACGCACGTGCCCGTCGGCGCCGATCAGCTGCAGCACCTGCAGTTGGCCGCGTTGCTCGCGCGCACGTTTCGGCACCGCTACGGCCCCGCCTTTCCGACGCCCCGCGCGTTGCTGCCCGCCGACGGCAGCGACCGCGTGCGCAGCCTGCGCGACCCCGCCAAGAAGATGTCCAAATCCGACCCGGACCCCAAGTCGCGCATCGTGCTCGCCGACTCCGACGACGCCGTCCGCGCCAAGATCAGAAAGGCCGTGACCGACTTTACGCCTCAGGTGAGAGAGCTCCGATCGCCCGTCGGCCGATCCAAACCGGCCGCCACGCGCTTACCGGTGTCGTGTCGCGCAGGTGACGTTCGACCCGGCGACGAGACCGGGCGTGTCCAACCTGGTGCTGCTGCAATGCCTGGCCGAGGACAAGACGCCCGAAGAGGTCACCGACGAGGCGGGGGGACTGACGACGGCGCAGTATAAGCGGGTGGTGGCCGAAGCGCTCGTTTCCGTGCTCGGCCCGATGCGCGCGCGCGCCGAGGAGCTGCAGTCGCGGCCGCGGCTGCTGCGCGACGTGCTGCGCCACGGGGCTGCGCGCGCTCGACGCCGGGCCGACGCCGTGTACGCCGACGTGGCCGCGCTCACGGGTTTGGCGCCGGTCGAGCTCATGGAAGCCGACAAGAAGCTGAAGGTTGCATAGAACGTGAGTTTTAGACGCGTCGCTAATAGATAATACTTTCGATCCATTTGTGACGTCTCGATACGACAGGGGGCGTACCTCAGAGCGGGTGGTGGTGCTGGTGCTGCATGGCCAGGTGGTCGTGGGTCGCGGGCGGAGGTGCGGGGGGTCGTTCGCGCAGTAGCGTCACGAGGTCTCGCAGCAGGTCCACGGCGTGCACGACGGCCTCGGCCTGCTTTTCGGCGGCCAGCGCGGTGCGCATGGCGGCCTCGGCCAGCAGCTCGTCGGTTGCCAACGGCGCGGAACCCTCCGAGCACATGTCCTCGTCGAGAGCCTTGCGCTCCTCGTCCGAAGCCGCCGCGCCGCCCGACACCGCGTTCACTGCGTTACGATAGATATCATAAAAATCATAATAAAATGTAATAAATTAAACTAAATTTTTTTGCAAATTAATTAATATTAGTGTTTAATTATTTGATGGTGCTTGGATTAATTGCATATTAAAAAAAAATTACAGCGACCAATCACCTTCCAAATATTTAATGCAATAATAAATTTTGTAAAGCAAAATATAGTATGAATGAATGAATAATGATATAACATAATATGTTCTAAATACTCTCCATTATAACTATGACTAATTACTCTATGTAAAACCAAAGTACAGTAGATTGACTAAATATTTTAATATGAAATTAATTAGTATCCCAAGTAAAATTTGTTTTTGAAGTGAAAACTTCTTTAGCGGCGTTACACTTTTTTTGGAATGGTTAAAAAATGTTAAACTCTCGTCAGGACACGTGACCTGATCGAAAATTCGTAAGACGGATGGAGAGAAGACAGCTCGCGCGGCGTATTTAATCTTATATATAAAATTCTCGTGTCACAATGTTAGTTACCATACTCCATAACGGCTTTACCAATTCGTATGAAATTTTGTATGCATATTCAGTATGTCTGAGAATCGGACATCTATTTTTCGTCCCCCTAAATTTTTATTTTTTTATGACACAGCATACAAAAATACATGCAACCCTTAATTTTCACCCCCCTACGACCCCTCTACGATCATCCCCTATTTTTTATTATAGTAGATACTTATTTTTATTGAACTAAAAAATTTTTTCCTAGAAATACATGGCAAAACTATGTTTGCCAGGTCAGCAAGTGATTGTCATGTTTGTGTACGATAGCGCAATAAATAAATATTGTATTCTACCACATAAATGATAGTACTTTTATACTGTTAATTAAAGCAATTCGTGCAAAATTATTCCCAAAATATCAAAAATGCACAATGTTAATATTCAAGTTTTCACTTCTGCCGGCACTTCCGGATTGTAAAGTTTATCATTCGTTTAATTTTTTTTTAAATATATAATATTAATAATAATGTAGGTTAATTATAACCTTTAAAGAAAATGCATTGTATTTGCGCTACAATAAAAGCATTTTTGTTACTCCTGTTTTATCTTTTTGAGTTGTTTTTTACTACTAAATTGATATTTGATTATTTTAGTGTGACCCAATTAAATCATGTCTACAATAATTCTATATAATGTTTAAAGGTATAGGTTAATAATCTATTACATTTGTGGTTACAATATATAGTTTCAGTTTGTAGGCATGTGGAAGCATGTAAAATTTTTGTTCTTTGTATTGTTTAATTATGTGTAAAATGTGCATTTTGACAAATTAAGAATTCAGATAATTCATTTGACTATATGCCAAGTTCTTAATTATGCTTAAGTATTATATACAATACTACACTTACAATCGTTTTTGCAACTTAGAATATTCTGTAAGCGCTCCTCTGCCGACGAGAGGTCACCAAGTGCACCTCCGGCGGCACACTTCTTTCTTGCTTTATATTTAACGTCCGCCCAGTAGCGACACCACTTATCTGGTGATTTCCGAGCACCGCCCGTGTCTGCCGCCGCAGCGTTTAACCTCTCGGCCAGTAGCCGCCACAGTTTACTAGCGCTAAAGCGAGAATATATCGACTGTTTGCCAGCTGCAAAGTCACGGTGCTCTTCCATAAAAGTCAATAGCAGATCCAGTTGCTCTGCACTTACTCTGCTCCTGGACAGCGCTGAGTTCATGATTTAAACATAACGTCACTTTTTGTGCCTCTAGTAATCTAGTCTCATGATTGACTTGCATTACAATTTACAGATGTACAATATTATACTAATCTAAATTCTAAAGTCCAAACTTGCATTGAGATTTTTTTTTATGGCTCTGGCACGGTTTGTGCATTAGCATTTAGCACATTGAGTATTTTTTTTTTTCTTTATGGCTCTGACACGGTTTGTGCATTAGACAACGTCAAGTATAAACATTGAGATTTGTTTATTAAAAGCATTCACCACAGATGAAAAATGTATCAAGATAAAAGTCAATATCAAGTTTAGGTACAGACTAGAACCATTTACAGACCAATTACTTTTTCGCATATTTATTTGGCACTAATTTTCCCTTTGTTTTTACAGACCAACTAAAGAAACCAATGGGTAAAATTATAGTCCCGTATGCAGTAAATTAGTTCATTTAGGACATATAACTAAGTTTCTATATATTGTTATGCCAGTCTAGTTCTTCGTTCTTGGGTGGATAAAAAAGATCACGATTTGAAAACTGACAGCTGACACTACGACTGACGACAGCTGATATTTACATATTCTATTACACAATACTGAATACACATCTCAGTTTTTACTTTTTACTTTATTTTCGTTCGGACTTTGAAGTGAAACATATTTGTTATTAGGTAAAATTAAGATATTATTAATTGTATTATATTCCCGACAGGGTGAAAACTATACAGTTAGTGGCTGACAAAGGGAGAAGGGGTATTTAAAAATATTGATAAAGTGAAAAATGAGTGGGGTGACGTGCAATCAGAGATGTGCGGAACTAAATTTTGGAAAAGGGTAAAGTGAGTTTGAGCGGTGATTTGATTCGTTACTCGTTAGTCGTTACCGCAGAAAAATTAGCTACCACATGTTACCGTCCAGCTCAGCCTCTTGATTTATCGGGTTTGGATCATTCCAGGAAATACTATTTACTAGAAACAAACTATGAAAACACAAGTGTTGACTTATTAGTGAAATTTATTAATAATAATTATTATTTAACTTGTGTTTAAAATATTGCTTAAATAATATTGACTTTATTTGTTTTTACATAGTATATAATTGGGGATGATTTATTTATTTCAAATTATAGTTCAGGACAATTACATGGTGTTGGTAAATTTGATTATCTTAATTAAAAATAATAAAGAAAATGTATGAACTTAAATAATGAATGAGTATTTTAGTTGAATTCATTACATGAATAATGTTTTTATTTCATTAAAATAGATAGTAATCTCATTCAAGCTATTTTATAATACACTCAAATAATTAAGATGTTTTGTTTTATCAACGCTTAAGGATACAGTTTTAAGTCATTTGTGGTTACAACAAACCCATATAGATTATTACATCTTAAATTAAAATACCAAGAAAATCAAGATATCATTTAATTATATTTAATTTTTCTTGGTCTTTGTACACTTTTTAAATGATTTAAGTGCAGCTGATATTGTTTGTATGTTTGTGAAATGTAACTCAAGGTAGTTTGTTTTCAGGTAGGCATTGTCAAGTTATAATATGTCCGGAGTGGGAGCACGAATGGCAGCGTGGCGCGCGCACGCGTACGGCGGCGTCGGCGAGCTGCGACTCGAGAGCGCCCGCGTGCCTCCGCTCCGAAGCGCCGACGACCTACTCGTGCGCGTCACCGCCGCCTCGCTCAACCCCATCGATCTCGCCATGCTAGGTGTGCCCATACTTACAGAGAGATATACATAAAAGATGCATCGAGAATAAAACAAATTTAAATTTAATCGTACGTTAACCCAAATGGTGACTATAATGTTACTGCCGGAAAACTATAAAAAGAATCGCGTATCTGATCATACCAACTATACATGTGGGTATAGTACAGTAGGTAAATAAACCAGAATTGATCTTTATAATCTAAATGTAATAAAATTATTGACCGTTCTAGTCCCACGCCCACAATTGGTCTAGTATTTATTACCTACTGTATGACATAAAATGCGACTTAACGCAGACCCTACGATCGAGTAGCCGGCGCTGTGATCAGATCTTGCGATAGCCAAGGTAGATTTTAAGGTTAATTGTCTGGCCAAAGAAGCTATTTATTTTTTTAAGTTAAAAAATTTAGATGGATACGGATCGCGCATATTAAACACGCTTAGACGTCTGGAGGGCGCAGACGTCGAGTTCCCGTTGGTGCCGGGGCGTGACTTCAGCGGCGTCGTAGTGCGGGCGGGTCGCGGGGCGCGACTGCAGCCCGGGACGCGCGTGTGGGGTGTCCTGCCGCCGCATCGACCCGGCGCGCTCGCAGAATACGTCGCGCTGCCATCGCGCTGGGCGGGGCCGGCGCCCGTCGCGCTCGATCCGCTCGCCGCGGCCGGAGCCCTCTACGCCGGCCTCACGGCCGCGAGTGCCTTGCGGATCGCCGGTCTAGCGGGAGCGTCCGCGCCAGGGGCGCGCGTGCTGCTGCTGGGGCTCGGGGGCGTCGGCGCGGCCGCGCTGCAGTTGCTGGTGCGGGGCGGCGCACGGGTGGCGGTGAGCTGCGCGCCCGAGCAGGCCGCCGAGGCGCTCGCGCTCGGCGCCGTCGCGGCGCTTCACCGCGGCGAACCGGACTACGAGGCGCGAGTGGCCGCCTCGGGCCCCTTCGATGCGGTGCTCGATTGCGGCGGCGTCGGCGGCTGGGCGGCCGCAGAGGCCGCTTCACGCTGGGGTTTCTCGCGGTACGTGACGCTGACGACGCCGCTTCTGAGCGAATGTGATTCGCGCGGGCTGTTGGCGGGGAGCGTCACGGCGCTAGGAGCGCTGTCGGCGCAGACGTTCGGAGCGATGCGAGGCGCACTGGCGCGTAACCGGGAAGGGCCCTGCCCGCCTCATGTGCGCTGGGCGTTCTTTGTGCCGAACGCCTCCGATATAGAGATGCTGAGACGGCTCGCCGACCGCGGGCAGTTTCGGGTGTCGGTGCAGCGCGTGTTCGGATGGCGAGATGCGCCGGCGGCGTTCGCGGCGCTGGCCGAGGGACACGCCAGAGGCAAGCTGTTGCTCGACTTCAGCAATTGATCGCTTCTTTTGCTTGTGAAATACCTCCATTCGGATATTTTATAAGACTGCTTTAGATTTAGTGTTGTTCAGTTTTTAAAATATCTATAAAATTAACTAAATAATAAACTCGACTGAAGACTGCAGTTTCATTACATCATAAGGTCCTCGTGAGCTTTCGTCATCTCGGATTTGTTTCTTTGATATTTTGTCTAAGACGATCTGTTTGTGCTTAAAACTAATAAAACGATTAATATATCAGTTATACGAGTGTTTCGATAATGCGATAAATAATCTCCTTCGTTCTACTTGGTATAAAACATACGAACAGGCATAGCATAAAGAAATCAATTCTCTTGTGTTTTGAAAATAAAAGTCATTTGGTTACGTCGAGTCGGATCGTGTTATAAGGCAGGCATTTTAAATCAAATTTTACAATATTTGTTTATGTAAAATATTAATAATTAGGAGAGCAGGAGTCTTAAGCCCGATTCACATATATCAGTAAAGCCACAGTACCGTCAACGTGTCCGCTCAGTTCAGTATCAGTGATACAGTATTGTATCAGTGATACAGTATTGCGTCAGTCATTCAATTCACACATATCAGTCTCTCAGTTTACGGAGCTTCAGTGAAAACGTGTCCATCGTCAAGTAACGTGATTATAGCTCTGTTCAATACTACGGAGCTAGCAATGATAGCTGTTGCTTTAGGCCCGGCGCTCATTATCGGCATCGGAACGGCTGAGGATTTTAGGTTATAAAAAGCATTATAACCTACCTGAGACAAGATGAAGGTAAACGGCATATTAGAATTGATAGTGAGGGTGATTTAAATAAACTTCGTCTAAAACAATGACTTTTTGAGGCCCCCAGGAAACTCCGCCGGCCTACGATAACTTTCCTGTTTGTGAAAAATCCGGCACTTAATTATTGTTTTTATAGATATTATTTTTTTTTTTTTATATTATATTATTGTTTTTCTTTATATACATACTTATACCTCTGTTCATTGTATTGTATTTTACATAACTAAAAAATTATACATTCTTAGTCTATATCATGTTGAAATCGAGATCTTATCTTTGTAAAAATGTTAGCATTTCTCAGACACGAGTAGCTGCGACAAAAAGCTTAATATTTTACAAATGGCTAGATTTATTGATAATATAAATAATGATATTGATAATATAACAGTGGCAACTGCCTACAGTTGTGATATAAAAAATTGTAATGATTTAGTAAAAAAATCAGGAAACTCCTAAAAATTATAACACAAAATATCCGTAGCGTTTACAAAAATATTGATGCATTCTTGGCCCATATAGCTCGTCTGTACTTTGATCCAGATATAATAATTTTAACTGAATGCTGGTTAAACGACAATAAACCCATACCCAGTCTCAAGGATTATAATTCTTATTTCACAAAAAAATGCTTAAATCAAAATGACGGTATTATAATTTATGCTAAACAAAATATAAATTGCGAAATTGAAGAACCTAATCCTAAAGATGCTAACTTTCTGCTAGCTAAAAATAGTACCAGATATTGTACTTTTTAGCTATTTATAGATCACCATCCTTTTACTACACTGAGCGCTTTTTGAATGCTTTGAATGATATTGTTAAATCTATATCATCTAAGAATATATTTTTAATAGGTGATATAAATATCGATATAAAACCTGGAAACGGTGACAGAAACAGTAACCCTTAAATTTAACCAGCGAATTGGGTTTTCTGCCAGGCCACACATATCCAACACGATTAAGCAATTGTCTCGATCATGTAATGGTTAAAACTGTTTTACAAACTAGTGTTATAGTGATAAATTCCACCGTAACTGATCACGACTCTATTCTAATAAATCTATCCCTTAACAGTAAACGGACTAATACTCAGTGCCCTTCTATTGTTGAAAGAGTAAATTTTAGTGAAGCTATAAAATATGTTGAATTGGCTGATTTTACTTTATGACTAACAAGCAAGACGCCGAGTCTCTGCGACTCGATTTGTTGAAATTCTTCATCTGCTATTAAAGCTAACACTGAAAAAGTCCGTGTACCCAGGCGCAAAAAATCTCTTAAGCCCTGGATGACTCCGGGCCTACTTCGCTGTATCCGTCACCGGGATAAACTGCATCTTAATTTAAAAAGGGACCCCCAAAATGAAATTCTTAAAAATAACCTATAAAAGGTACAGGAATTTTTGTTGCTCATTACTTAGAAAATTGAAGCCAACCGAAAATTCTTATTAAAAAGTGCAAAATCAAATAAAGAAACCTGGGCTGCAATAAAATATTCACCGATAGTTCAAGTAAAAAATCTTCTGCCGATGAGTTAATTAGGAATTGTAACGCATTAGATGCGTTGAGGACATAAATAGTTATTTTTCTAATGTTGGTAGAGAGCTAGCTGAAAAACTACAGGGTGTAAGTATAACTACAAATGTACAAGATCAAATTGCTTGACTAACTCCTTCGTACTAATGCCACCAGATGAGGCTAGGTGGAATCTCTCATCTTAAGCTCAAAAATGATTGTGCCACTGGTTGGGACTCTATACCAGCTCGATTTCTAAAAATGGTAAGACATGTCATTGTATCCCGCTTACTTCTTGTTTCAAACATGTGTGAGGAAGGCTGCTTTCCAAAAAGTCTTTAAAAGGTCTCTCATTACTCCTGTTCACAAGGGTGGGGCACGGGATTGTGTTGCAAACTACAGACCGATTTCTGTGCTTACAGCACTATCAAAAATCCTAGAAAAGATGCTTAACGTGAGGTTAATACAGTTTTTAAATCGGTACAATATTCTGTCCAGCTCACAATTTGGTTTCAGAATGGGTATGTCAACAGAAGACGCTGTGGGTAGCTTGGTTGAGTTTGTCACAGAAAAACTTGACAGAAAAAAAAGTGCCTTGGTGTCTTCCTCGATCTTGCCAAGGCATTTGATACCGTCTCAATTCCTATACTTGTGGACAAATTGGAGCGAATTGGAATAAGAGACTCAGCCCTACTTATTTTTAAAGATTTCCTTAGTGGTCGGGTGCAAAGGGTTAAGATTAATAATTATATTAGTTCCGACGCAAATGTAACTTTTGGAGTTCCGCAGGGCAGTATTCTTGGTCCAAGTCTTTTTCTTATTTACATAAACGACCTATGTAATTTGTCCCTAACTAGTTGCAGGTTGTTTTACCTATGCCGATATACGGCTATAGTTTTTATGGGGACACCTGGACCGAGATACAAAATATTGCCGAAAGCGGACTGCAGAAGGTGGCTAGATGGCTCAGGGAAAATTTACTTACTTTAAATATTTCTAAAACTTCGTATATTCAGTTCCAAACATTAATTCCCATATGACTGATATTAATCTTAAAATACACATATGTGTCTCTGAGCGAAATTGTACTTCTTAATATAACAAAATCCAATACCATTAATTACCTCGGTTCGAATTAGATAATAAATTGAGTTGGCTACCTCACATTGAGATTATAACGGCACGCAGCGAAAACTAATCTGGACATTCAAAAAATTACGTTATGCCGCGGAATTTGAACTACTCCGCACTGTTTACTTTGCCTTAGTAAAATCGGTTATTGGATACTCGTAGCGTGTGGGGTGGAGCGTGCAAGTCACATCTAATTCAGCTTGAAAGAGCCCACAGATCTTTACTAAAAGTAATGACTTTCAAACCCTTCAGATTTTCAACCACACTTTTATATAAACAGTGTGAGCTCCTGTTAGACTTTCGTCTTTAATATAATAGCCAAACAACATTCCATACCCCTTATAACCCAGAGGTTTGCAGTAACAAACGCTGTTACCAAATGTACTCCCACAGCAAAATTCCGTACTACCTTCGCAAGGCGACAACGACATATCTCTCAGTCTTTCTATATAATAAAAATAAACAAAAAATTAAATTTCTACCCTCTTTCACTACATGACTGCAAATCAATTGTTAAGACTTGGCTTTTGTCCTTAAATTATGAGGAAACAGAAGATCTATTTAACTAACATGCTACAATAATGTTTTAGTTATTTTGATTCATTAATTATGTGTATAATTTATATATTTATACTAGTGTTACATATACCCATATGTAAAATGTATAATTATGTATATTTATGTATTATGTATATTTATGTATTTTAGTATTTTATGTGTATGTACCTATTTTATTACCTATTATATTCATTGTAATTTATACTGAAACATTTTTTTCAATATATGTTATTTTTGTTTAAGTATATTGTGTGTAACAGGATAATTAGATGTAATATCTGGAATTTACAAATGTCTATAAAAAGTATTGTCTTGTAAAATTTTGAATAAGCTCTCTTGACACTTTTCGAATTATATTGGGAGAAGCCACTGACTCCTGAGATACAGGCACTAAAGCCTAGTTTAGGTGTCAGAGTCTTCATAGGATTTCTGTAATTACAAATATGTCAATAAAGATTATTATTATTATTATTAATAGGTTGGGGAAAAAGTTTCTTCGCATTTTTCAAGAAAATTCACAACATTTTTTAATATAGTTTATTTACATTTAACTAAAGTATGTAGGTACCATTTTGTTCGATAACTTTTTGCCATCTTGTAGGTAGGGATATGATCCCATTGCTATAGAAGTTTTGGGGCTTCTGATCAAAATACCGCGACAATTGGTTTTGGCAGTCCTCTCGTGATGTTAACCTGACACTGCCTAAAGAATTCTAAAAATACCGAAACAGGTGGAAATCTGAAGGTGCAAGGTCAGGTCTATACGTCGAATGCATTAACACCTCCCAGCCAAGCTCTCTTAATTTTTGCTGAGTGGCTGAAGATGTGTGTGGTCTGTGATCTTGATGAAAAACCACACCCCTTCTGTTGATTAATTCCGGCCGCTTTCTCTCAACTCCTTGCTTTAATCTCATCAGTGTTTCGCAGTAGAGTTCAGAATCGATGGTCAAAAAAAAATAAAAATTGAAAAAGCTTAAACCAAATTTGTGCTACTTTCACAGACACTGCACTAGGTCTGTACGAGCCAAGGCTGTACATTTTGCTCTTTTGCCTGGGGGAGTATGTACGAGCCAAGGCTGTACATTTTACTCGCTCAGGCTTCCTTAGTTTTATAAGCTTAATTATTCCCTATGTAAGTACGTGCCAGGGCTCGTACATTCCGATCATCTACAACCGTGATGATTTCCTATGTAAGTACGTGCCAGGGCTCGTACATTCCAATCACCTTCAAGCGTGATGTTTGTCTTATGTAAGTACGTGTCCTGGCTGTACAGTTTGATCACTTATAAGCATGACGATTTCCTACATCGTCGGAGTCACGCCCCGAGAGTATAGCCCGACGCAGGCACTCTCTTCGACTGTTACAGCAGTCATTCGTATCATTACAATTAACTGTATCATGGGAGTTTCACCCCGGGAGCATAGCCAGACGTCGGCACTCTCTCTGTTCGTTAGATTGCACTTATATATAGCAATTAACATAATAGTTATTATTTCGCTCATATTCTATTGTATAACGCGAGTGATAAATATAGAGTAAGTTAAAATTATTCTATTATTTCGAACCCCTGATGATCCAGGAACCGTACAAGGTCCATAAACATCGCAAATTTTTTTCGCGGCTTGCGTTGTACCTTTTTTGTAGTAAAATTTTAAAATGTATCGAATTTCTTCATTAGATTCACTTATATTGACGGTACGAAAAATAAATAAAAATCACACATTATCCTAATATGAATTTGGAATTATCTTCTTTAAAATCTCAACTTTCAATGATAACAAAAACAGGCAAATACATATAGTATAGCCAAAGAGATTTTATTACAAGTTCATACATAGTATAATGCGAAAAGACTTTTTCCCCAACTTAATACATTAACTTCATGGCAATAAAGTAGATATTTCCATGATATATTATCGTAATCGTAGTAACAAAAATACCGCTTCGGTAAGCTTAAGGCTACTGCATCGGCAGCTTTGAGTCTGCTTCGGGATACTTCGGGATCCTTTGGTAAGCAGGCGCCCGCCGCGCCTCCGGCGCCGAGGCAACACTCGGGGGTAGCTTGCACTGCGGTGCGAGGCTTATGGACGCCTCGTCATCCCTAAGAACGTTGCAGCATGCCAAGACATAGTTTCCGACAGTGTGCGCTTGCATGTAGGATTGCCGAAGGATCCCTTTTCTTGCCGATACCGATAATGAGCGCCGGGCCTTAGACAAAGCAGAAAGCCTTAGACAAAGCAGAAAGCTTAGGCAGAGCAGCATTAAGGAAAAAAAAGATAATGGGTGCATGAAGCATGGCAATTAAGAGAGACGTAAGGAAAATTCATCACACTATACAAAGAATTAGTTAAAGATGAAAGAAAGTGGCAAGGAAAGCAATCTGGCAGAGATCCAGTGCCTAAGCCTCAGGCTGCCCGATGATCATAGACATTGACGATTGTACTGTTAAATATCGTACCTACTCTTTGTTGTTGGTTTTTCTATATGTAGGTGTGAATATTGTTTTATGTAATATAATTGTAAATACTTGCTGCATTGGCATGGCGCATGACCCGTAATAGCATTTGATTTACTTAAAAATAAATAAATACTATACATAAAGACGATCAAACCGCCAATATTTACGCCCAGACCTTTCAATGAACAAAATCTATCAAATCTTTAAAGCAAAACCAATAGGAAAAAAGAGTGCCTACGTCAAAGTATTTGCCTTTACCTATGATATGCTGGAAATCTCAATAAAAGCCTATATTAAGGAGACTAAGAAAAATGCATACGTACCTATTCAGTGTAGCAACATGAGCATATTAAACTTACAGGCGAAGTACGAAACATATTCAATGACTGTAAAGGTTTTGACTTCACCTCGTGAATAATTAGTAGCTACGTTTGACCATTTCAATCAAAATCATTTCATTTCATTAAAATTTGGCCATACATAAGCAGTAAATAAATAAATTGTAGGGCCAAGGGCTAACACTCCTTTCGCAACTGTCTAGACTCTAGAAGATTCCGCGCCAGATTTGCCTAATGCCAAAGTGTTGCTCTGGTCAAAACAGAAACTTGCTCGTTTTGCACTTGATAATTTTCTGATAAATCGCCATATACCTATATTTTAGTGGTCATACTTATCTGCCACCGATTTCTCTTTCAAAAATAATATCATAGTCATAAAAAAGAAGACTCACGTCTATACACCAGAAGATTGGATGAATTTCGTCCGTTACTGCAGAAAACAAAAACCCTTCGCGACACATGAAAAATAATTTTCTTGATTTTGAAAGACAGATAGGACTATTGAAAGATCATCAGGTTTATTAAAAGAAGGCGCTAAAATTTTCAAGATGCGAAGGATATAGTTATAGGACAGGTTGCTAGTGTTAAATTTATCACTAGTAACCTGTCCCGCCTTTGCTCGGCTGGACATTTATTGTGTATAATATTATGTACACAAATAGAGGCTCTCAGAGATTTCAAAAAATTTAACCAAAAATTTGTTTTACGGTGCAGTAATATGCAACATCGGTGCCGGTTGTCGACGTCCACAGCGAGCCGGCCGCGGCCGCTGGTATGTGTAAGCACTAAGCTCTAAGCTCAAACACAGCTGGAAGTACGTCGGCCGTCGGCGTCACGAGCCCACAGCGTGTCGGCGCAGGCAGGCAGGCGGCCGACGCGAGTCGATGGAGCGCGAGCTGTCGCCATTGGCTGCGTGCACGTGGCCTGATCTCGCACCATGGCAACGCAAAGCGACCGCGCCCCGCCCCGCACCTCAGTAGATATTCGCATTTTGCACGAGTCTTCTCCGAATCACCATCGGCAGCGGTGTGCCGTGTATCGCGACGTGTTTTATTATTTACATTGCCACAAGAAGAAATAGGAAATCGTTAATTGCACACTTGGCTACCGAATGCCGATCCCGGTCGATACATTGCTAATAATGTTGTAAAAGTCTTCTCACTGCGTCGCAATTTCGTTGTGGACTGTAAATTATATACGACTGAATCGAAATTAGTATCAGAATAATTATATTTGTTTATAAAAAAAGTGTTAGTGGCAATATTAACTGCAATTTGTAGCTGCTCCTTCTCTCATCGCTCAAGTAATTTTGTAAGTATTGAAAGCTTGAATTAATTAAATGCAGTATAAGGGAACTAACCTATTTTAACCTTAGTTTCTGTTAGACTAGGTACCGAGTACCTACCTACTTCATATTGTACGGTGGCATAAGTTTGTATAAGAATAACATTATGTGTGTCCCGTAAATTGTATATTGCTCCGTCTATTAAGCGTGTCATGTAATAAACGTATTATCTCTAAACGCAAACAAAATTACAATGGAACAGCTGATTATGACCATACAGTTATTAGTAGGTCCCAATCCTATAAGTCCCCCTAGTAAGTCATTCCTAAAACACATGAAGTGGCCAGTGCTACTTTGTTAGTGCTATCCTTAATGACTTACTTTACTTGTTATGGGGTAAAGCGTCATAACTTTAAATATTTAGAACAATATTATTTTAAAATACAACTTGTAATTGGTTTACCTAATATTTAAAGTATAGTGAAAGTGAAATCATTAGATGTCTGTTTTTAAAATATGTTTCTTTTATTAGACTGTACGAGATCGTAATTATCACGCTTGTAATAAATGTCTGTCTTTGCGTGGATTGTTTATTTTTCTTCAAAATCAGAGCTATAGAAAAATATCACTTGAAAAGACCAAAGAAGGAAGGAAAGACATGTCTACCTAAATATTTGTAACATTAATAGTATAATTCTGTCTACTCCTCGGAGGCTCTCTACAACAACACCAATAATTATTTAGTAGGATACTTTGACATCCAGTAAATCAACCTATCTACCAAATTTAATGTGATATCTTACATAGGGATACATTACTTCAATAAAGAGAAGAAACGGACGAAGTTATGGATTTTTAACGATGCCGCGCCATTTTTCCTTCTGTTTTTTGTTAATGCGTATTTATTACATTAATCACATAAGCCGCAGTCTTCGCCGACCATTTAACCTTTTTAACATTATTTTGAACCTAAAGCGCAATCAATAATCATACCCGGAAATTTAAAAGAAAAAACATTGAAACAACAATAATTATTGGTACATAGGTATGTGATTTGACTTGTAATCAGACTTGACAGCTAAACAGAAAACACGAATTGTTATTTAAAAAATAATTCTCTATTCGAACCAGTAGTTTTTAAAACTATAGAATTAGACGAGAGGTACTTCATAAAGACACATAATTTAAAGGTAGGAATGTATAATAATTGTTTTTACCCATTTTGTATAGCGCAAAAGATTTTCCACTACGTCATAATTAAATGATGAAAGCCCGTCCGCAATTAAAATATTTACGCCAAAACTAGGTACTAAGTGACATCATGAGTAGACTGTGTGATATATTTTTATTATAATTATCACAATTCGATTAGTGAAATGGAGTTTTAGTCGAGAAGATCTGTAGAGCCCGGACGCCGAAGCCCGGCTCCCGGACCGTGCACATATTTACTTTCTAATTGGAACACAAAGAGCACCGCTAAGCGCTGCCTCTCCACTCAAATCATCCCATTAGCATTTGGCGGCCAATGCCCGCCCGCGCCGCGCCGGCCCGACAAATTAGTGCTATTGATGATATTGCGTCCATCGCCACGGAGGGAGCATGTATTTAATATCCTTTGACGCGTGATTTACACTTCGACATGATAATATTATGATGATCGGTCATTATGAAGCGACTGACTGGGAGCGATCTGCGGGCGTCGGCAGCCAGAGGTCGAAGCGGTCACCGCTTTGGCAAAATTCGCGGTGTCGGTGGAAGAAGTCGCCGACGACCTTGCTCGTCCTTGTCCGCGACTCGGCCGCGGACGCGATAAGCGGCGAGGTCTCGTGGAAATGTGGGAGCGAGTCGCGACCCCGCTATCGCGCCGTTTTAACCGGCCACGCCATGCGCGCAGCCTCACTCGCTGCGTGCACACGCTCGCGAAACCACTCGATTCGTGGCCGTATTCGATAGCCCTACGACGAAACATTTTGACGATAGCATCGCCCATTCCAGAATATCCGAAGACATTCCCTTGAGAAACGATGCCGAGCGCAGTGGTGAACGGCGGCGGCGCAGCGGCACGGGCGGCCGCCGACGAAGTGGTGGTGACCGGGCTGTCAGGCCGCCTGCCGCAGTCCGAGACCATCGAGGAGTTCGCGGAACAGCTGTTCGCCGGTGTCGATCTCGTCACGGCCGACGACCGACGTTGGATGCCCGGTATGTTGCTTTTTCTTCTTTAAACATATAAAATAACGTAAGTCACTAAATTAACTGCATAATCTCATAAAATTGCAATTAATCGCATAAAATGATGTATTATTTATGGAACTAGCTGTTCTGCGCAGTTTCCTGCGTTAACATTTTGATTCGAATTTGACCAATATTTAGTTGCGGCTCCGTTTTATAACTATGGTGAGATATTATATCACAATTTATGTTTAAATTAAATCTTTCCTTTCTGTTATAGAAATGTATGCTATTAAATATTATAACACGTATAATATGTGAATATTTTTTTATCTTCACTGCGCACTTTTATGTTGCAAATGCGTAATATAACTTTATTGCACTCCAAAACGTATCTTTAGAGTCGATAGGAAATTTTATTTTTAATCGATAATAATGGAACCAATGCTGGTTGTGTGGTGTTCCAGTATTATATACTTAAAGAGTTTCGCACATTAAGAACCTGGGTTGCACGATTAACGCTTCAGAAGAGTTGACTTAATTTCATGCTCCACACTCGAGGATCCGTAAAAAGTAAAAAGATTGTAATATTGGATGTTATACAGCGTATTTATAACTGTTTGTTAGCTTAGTTATGACTAGATCACAGTAAAGTAAATAAAACGATTAGTTAAGAATGACCGACCTCACCGATTCGTATAAACTTCTAAGAAACTAAATGCAATAGCAGAAATAGGTAGGTAAGACTCGTGAAAATGTTATCCCGACTTGTTGGGGTTTGTCCTGTTGACGGCTCGGCCGAGCTTCCTGCTCGGTTTTCCTACTGCTATCGGCTGTTTACGCACCGTTGTCGTATTATTATTCTCGTTAGGCTCATTTTTGAAACGTAGAAGGAATGTTGTTATTGACAACTGTTTGGTTTATAATGTCACTTGAATGATAAAAAAACAGCTATTATTAAATCAATTTATTAATTTAAGTTACCTAGACATAAATCAAGCGAATCCCGTAGAATATACAAAGTGTGCAAGTTGTGCTGTCAAATAACGAACCTGCGTCATACCTGAAAAAACATAAATTGTAACTACGAATAACGGGGGAAATCTCCTTGAAATTATGCTAAATAAGTATTATTTCTAATGGCTAAGATAATTAATATCTTATAATATAACGTAATTACTATGGAATTAAATGATTACATTATAGGTACTTAGCTTACAAGTTTTTGTGGTTTTAACTTAACATTGAATAGAAAACTGTTTTCCGCTTTGTTTTAATTAACACGACTATTGTATTTATACGCATACATTCATTTAACTGTTTTGCGCTACAATTCAGATGATAATGTGAAGAGCAAGCACGTTTGAATAAAGAAATCGTTTGTTAAGTAACCGTTGAAAATAAAATAAATAATTACTCGATATGAAAGAACGGAATATGCAGTTCCCCATAAGTGTTCGTGATTATATTTATATGCCGATCACAGAAATGACATAGCTGAACAATATTCTGATTTAAATTAGAAAGTCACTATCAACTGACTAGACAGGCGAAAATTTATAGAAATTTTTAATAATTATAGAAAATACGATGGATAGTATGTCTTATGAGTAAAATTTTAAAAAATAAGCACGTGCACAGCGATGCGTTATCGTGATGTGTGACGTCACGCGCCATCACACCATGTCCAGAGAGGCCAGCTTTCTGTGACTCACAGTTCACTAGGCACTTGCATTGTTCTCTGATGTTCTGTTGAGCGGGCATTGTAATTGCATTCACGAATTTTGTCTAGAAGTTTATTTCCTTCTCCGCCTTATTATACTACGTAACTACATATTGTATTTGTAAGGTACACCACCTTTTCGTTACCATTATTTTTCAAATATATAATGGATTTTATTGTTAGTCATGGATGATTTGTGGTGGATTACAGGGTTGCACGGGCTGCCGGAACGCAATGGCAAGCTGAAAGACTTGGAACACTTTGACGCCACTTTCTTCGGCGTACACGCCAAGCAGGCCCATCTCATGGACCCGCAACTGCGACTGCTTCTCGAGATCACGCACGAAGCCATCGTTGACGCGGGTATCAACCCGGCAGAGCTGCGCGGCTCGCGCACGGGCGTCTTCGTCGGCGTCTCCAACTCCGAGACGGAAGAGATGTGGACCGAGGACCCCGATAAGATCAATGGCTACGCGCTGACCGGCTGCTGTCGGGCGATGTTTCCCAACCGCATCTCGTACACCTTCGACCTGAAGGGCCCCTCCTACGCCATCGACACCGCCTGCTCCAGTTCCATGTTCGCGTTGGCGCAGGCCGCGGCGGCAATGCGCGCCGGCCAGTGCGACGCGGCCGTCGTCGCCGGGTGCAACCTGTGCCTAAAACCGGCCAACTCGCTGAACTTTCACCGGCTGAGCATGCTGTCGCCGGAGGGCCGGTGCGCGGCTTTCGACGCCGGCGGCCGCGGCTACGTGCGCTCCGAGGCCGCCGTGGCGGTGCTGCTGCAGCGCCGAGGCGCGGCGCGGCGGGTGTACGCCACCGTCCGAGGCGCACGAATGAACACCGACGGCCACAAAGAACAGGGCATCACTTTCCCCTCGGGCGCCGTGCAGCGTCGTCTCGCCGAGGAGACCTTCGCGGAGGCCGGCCTGCGCCCGCAAGACGTGGCGTACGTCGAGGCGCACGGCACCGGCACCAAGGTACCGACGTCGGTTCTAATCGAAGACCACGGATTTATTCCGTACCCCCACAAACGTAAAAGTCATCTCATCGTTACATTTGCGAACGTCCGCAGGTGGGAGACCCGCAAGAGGTAAACGCGATAGCGGACCTGTTCTGTCCGGGGCGCAGCGAGCCCCTCCTGTTGGGCTCCGTCAAGTCTAACATGGGTCACTCGGAGCCCGCCTCGGGGCTGTGCTCCTTGGCCAAGGTGCTGCTCGCCATGGAGCGCGGCTGTCTCCCCGCCAACCTGCACTACCGCGAGCCGAACCCCGACATCCCGGCGCTCAGCGACGGCCGCATTAAGGTACGGTCGGTCCTCCGTCGACGTCCTTCACGAGCGTCCCCGAACGACTGACGAGAACTCGATCCGCAGGTGGTGGACCGCAACACGGAGTGGGACGGCGGGCTGGTGGCCGTGAACTCGTTCGGCTTCGGCGGCGCCAACGCCCACGTCATCCTGGAATCGGAGCGCGGAGGCGCTCGTTCGCCCGCTACCTACGAAGTGCCGCGCGTGCTCGTTGCGTCCGGCCGGACCGAAGAGGCGGTGCGCGAACTGCTGCGGCTAGGCGCGCAGCACCCCCGCGACTCGTCGCTGCACGCGCTGTTGGACGCCGTGCACGCGCAGAACGTCCCCGGACACGGGCACCGCGGCTTTAGCGTGCTCTCCGACCCGCCCCTCGAGGAGATCTCGGTGAGTGCGAGGCGTCCCGTTTTATTCTTTGTTTCCGTTCTCGTCGCGTAATCGCTTCTAAGTGGATCTCCGCACCCTCAGGAGGTGGAGAGCGGCGCCCGTCCCGTGTGGTTCGTGTTCTCGGGCATGGGGTCGCAGTGGGCCGGCATGGCGCGCGGTCTGCTGCGGCTGCCGGCGTTCGCGCGCAGCGTCGAGCGCAGCGCCGCCGCTCTCAAGCCGCACGGGCTCGACCTGCTGCACGTTCTCACGGAGGCGCCCGACGCCGCCTTCGACGACGTCATCAACTCTTTCGTGTCCATCGCCGCCGTGCAGGTGGCCCTCGTCGACGTGCTGCGCGTCGCGGGCATCGTCCCCGACGGCATAGTCGGCCACTCGGTCGGCGAGATCGGTTGCGCGTACGCGGACGAGACGCTGACGGGCGAGCAGGCGGTGCTGGCCGCGTACTGGCGAGGCCGCAGCATCGTGGACGCGAAGCTGGGCCCCGGCGCGATGGCGGCCGTGGGCCTATCTTGGGAGGAGTGCGAGGCGCGCCTGCCGCCGGGTGTGGTGGCGGCCTGCCACAACGCCGCCGACAGCGTGACCGTGTCGGGCCCCGTGGAGGCCGTCGAGAGAATGGTGGCCGAGGTGAGCGCGGCCGGCGGCTTCGCTCGGCGCGTGAACAGCTCGGGCGTGGCCTTCCACAGCCGATACATCGCGTCGGCCGCGCCGCTGCTGCGCAAGAGTCTCGAGCGGGTCATCCCCGACCCGAAGCCGCGCTCGGCGCGCTGGATCTCCTCCTCGCTGCCGCGTGAGCAGTGGGACTCCGACCTCGGTGAGTCATTTATGCGTTAAAGAACGAACCCTATAGACGCCTAAGAAAATAAATATTTCTTTATTTCTTTTTATATTATTAAATTTATGTATATTTATTTCTCTATATCTGTGAACGAGCCCCTAAGAATTGATTACTATTCATTAGTCACACTATATGTGGATCCATAACTTAGTGACACAATAATAACAATGTTAATAATATAGTCAAGACACCTTTATTCAGACAAGATACAATTTTACTTATTCTAGAATATTTTCCTTTATATACATACAAAAAAATTAACTTAAATAAAGTTGAATATTTACATTCCCTCGAGAACTAAAATAGATTTTATTTCAGTTTTTTAATCGTAATATATATGTACTGCTCAAAACAATTAGCGGAACAAGATTTTTCTCCTTTCTATTGCTTAAACTAAAATTAGATTTAAATTAACTTGTACGCTATTTTTTACCTTGTTAATTCGTTAATTACTACAATTAATAAAAAAATTCAATTTGTATTTTTTTTATTAAAAAAAAATTAAAATGTGCATTGTAGACGAAAAACAAAGTGACGTCTTTGAATTTTCAT